ACCTGAGTTAGTGATATAGGCCAACGTGTAGAAATCACAAAACTGTTATCTCTTCAATACGCTCAACACATTCAATGATCTACATGGTTTCCTATAATTTTATACCGTCAGGCACAATTTGTTGATAAAATAGTGCGTTTTAATTCACCAGATAAGGAATAATAAATGGACAAATCAAGATATTTTGCTGAAGGTCGCATCAGAATAGTATGACCATTACAAATGAATTTAATCTGTTGTTTTTCTCCTTGTTAAAATAAGATTCAGTTTTACTGAACTCCAGAGTTAACTTTAGTGTATGAATATTCTATTTACCGGAAGTATTGTAAAGTATTTAATTTGTTTTCTAGTCTTTAATCATGATTTTATCCAAACAAGTTTAAAATGTTCCATTTATACATCTGATTTTCTTTTTGGTTCCAGTAAATTATTTATATAAACCAACATAAGTATTTCACAATGAATACTCAACATTAAAATAATTTCTGCTAAATGCTGTAAAAAGTTCTTTTGGTTCGGATGCCTGTAGGCTGTTCCAATAAAGACAGGTTAAATTTTGGGTAGCAAAAGATCATTAATCAGTATATAATCTTTGTCACACTTGACGTCTGATCTCGAGGTGTAAATCACATACGTACAAACGTCTCCTCGACCTGTATTTAAATTTCGGAAGAGAAAAAGTAAGTTAAGATCCCTATCCCTCTTTTACACTGATTTAGTCATCAAATCAGCAATCTGTGACGGAAATCATCGAGGCTCGGGATATGAAAAGAAAAAAACACAGGTCGAATCACTGCCTTATCTAACCGTGTACATACATTCGTTATTACACGGACATTGGAAGTAAACCCTAGTTCAGTTTAAGAAATATATAGATAATTTCAAATCGACAAGTCCAATCGGCAAGATTTTATCTGGTTCCGGTACAGGAATCGAACCCACAACCTGGTACTGATAAGCATACAATAGAGAACAAGAACAACATACTAATTACGAGTAGTTTTACCCAACTCCGGCGGCAATCACCATGATTGATACTTTTGTTGAATCGAAGATTTCTGGACGGATCTGTTTCACAATGGAACTGATGCGTCTAAGTTTTAGAATGGTTATAATGGGTCAGTGAGGAGGACTGTAACAGATTACCGTATATATGTATCTTGCCGAAGTGAGGTCACAAGTGGACGACCTGTTTACAGGCGGTCCCGAATAGTGTACGTCTGCAACAAAGCACCTATCGCATTGATGTGCACCCGATGTGCGCATTCCAACAGCGCGCAAAACTATTCTGCATCCATACGGGGCACGTCCCTAACAAAATTGTTGCCGTAAAAACTACGATTTTTTTATACAGTGTTAGAATACAAACGCAAGAACTTTTGAGAGTTCTCTTGGTATACTATGGCTAGGGAGAGTAAATGCGCTGACCATATAAGCGTAACGAAAGCAAAATTTCAATTTTTAAACAATCGCACAAGTTTTTAATACATTTGCTTCTAAGTGCAACTTTTGAAATTATCTGTAAGAAATTCCGATTTTGGTTTTTTTTTTTCATGAATTTTTTCCAATAGAATACTCCCGGTATCATTTGTGACTGTTCCATCAACTGAAAAGGTTATGGCCTCGGTTTTCTGGGATGCTGGTGGTAGATTATCTACAGACGGAACAAACAACCAATGACACATATTATGGATCACTTCTTAGGCAGTTAAGAGAAAATATTGAACTCAAGAGACGCGAAACTCTCAGTAAAGGTGTGTTGTTCCCTCAGGACAATGTTCATAAGTCTGTCATTGCCATGGTTGCCTTTAACAATTGAGATTTTTAATTAAGTGAGTATCTGCCTTGTTTGGCTGATCTCGATCCATCAGACTTTCTCTATTTCTATAATTGAAAAAAGGCCATTTCCTGTACCCACTTTCGGTCAGATGATGACGTCATACATGCAATTGAGGATTTTCTGAACGGTCAAGAAAAAGACTTCTTTAGAAGTGGCATTGATGTCCTTAAACACCGCTTGCAAAAGTGCATATATACTGAATGGGATTATATTAAAAATAATGCAGTATGTCCGCCAAAAGCCTTGAATATGAGGCCCGTGATTTATCAATCCCTCGTATTGTATATTGATAAAATTCAGATCATTTTTCTGATGTGAATGAGGCAGCAATCTTCAACGATGTAAATTGTTTTAGAACAGAAAATTCGGCATTGTTCTCATTCCTTGTGCAATCAACACTTTCTTTCTTTTATCATGGGTTTTACACCCACTAGTACTGACTTTCGGCCTATCAGGTGACGAGAAAGGACAGGAAAGTAAGATCCCCTTGGCCTAAACTAACACTAACTAGGGGCGTCGCACTAAGAGGACCGGTTAAGGACAGCAAGGAGGAGGAAGGGGATTCTTTATAAATTTCGATATGTTTTTAATATTTGAAATTCCTTCAGAATTACTTAACATATAGTTCCTTTTGCCAATCTATATATATCCTCTGGGCCGGCATTATCGCGCTTTTTCGAAGAAATGAAGAGGGATATTTATCGTACGAGTTGGACATTCTCACATAGGTCATCATTTTATGTCCCATCCTACGGACTGTGTTAGTAGTTAGCTGTTGGTAAGCTGTTGGTGCCGATATGTTTTTGTTGTTCATACGCAAGTTTTCTTTCCCTTTCTGTCTGCCACAATGAAAGCTGATTGCTTTAACTATGTCCATACTTTCTGTCATTCCACACCGTTCCTGGCACCACGTAACTATTCGCATTCCAATATTTTTTCAATGATTGATATTGTGAAGTTAGTATTGAGTTGGAGGTGTTATGAGGGTTTACTAAGTGGATAAGGAAATACACTTGTTGACTGAATGAGTGCTATGGGATATTTCGGATGATTGAGTGATGAAGGGTAGGGGTGGTGTGTGTTTTATGGAATAACACAGATCTTCACGTAAAGATGGTAAATAGGTCAGTCGGTAAGTGTTGTTGTACAAAAATGTCGAAGCGGCTTTGCAAGTTTTGTGTCAAGTTTAGATAATCGGACAGGATCCCTTCTGTGTCCCATACAGTGCCCTAGGTATGAGCTAGTCTCCATTCGGTTACCCAACCCGTGTAATATTGTGTTTGTATATGAGGTGGCGTTTTGTAAAGTGTACAGTTTCGGCAGTGAGCATTCTGTGGACACAATTACCTTTTGCTTTATGTGCAAACTATTCTTACAGATAAATATGCGGGAGATGGGGCACATAACAAGACACCTCATACCTCAAGAGATGTCAGTGTGTACCAATTAATGAGAGGAATGATAGTAATCCTCCTTGGTACAACCTTTAAGGGTATCCTCGGAATCCTATCTATTATTACCTATGCAGGATTCTGGCCATCAGAACAAGGGCCCTACTGAATCCCATACAGTGCCCTAGGTATTGGCCAAATTCCTTTGTAAAGTAGTGTTGATGTTCTATTTTGTTGTAGAAATCTATAGTTTTCAATCATCTAATTATCATAATTTGGACAATGCCCAGTGAAGATAAAATGTGATTGGTATAAATTACAAGGTTTTGATTACTATTGAATTCATTATACAACATGAAGTTTTTCTGTTTACATGTACACAGCTGGTATTAGATTGAGACATTGAGGTGTGTATCTAGTGAAAATATCTGAGTTAACGGCATTTTAACTTCACGACTTCTGAACACAAGTAAACAAAGAAAAAATCAACTCATTTCATGTAATTTTAAGGTACACTTGGCGTAAACACTTGAGCTTCAATTATGCACATAAACACACTCAAAGTACTGCCTAAACAGCTGATAGTGGTTAGACTGGTTTCTGGTTTGTATTTTTATATCTTTATTTGTTCATACCATTGCATGATATATATATATATATATGTATCTAATACAGTTTTATTGATTTGACCTCCTGAAGTACATATATGTGTGCCTGAGTGAAATAAATAAACTTGAAACTTGTATGTGATTGTGTATGGAATAATACCCCCCCCCCTAAATAATCTAAGTACAGGTGAAGGCTGAGAACTTAAACATAATATAGCCCAAATTAGTTCTCACATTCCTGAGGTGGTTACTCTTTCGTTCTAACATGTGTGCATTTCCACAAATACATCAAAACGTATCGTTCAATAAAAATAACATTTATTTTCAAAGTAAATTAAAGTAAAGTAACAAGTGATTCATTAGTGATTCTAAACTGTTACAACACATTCCGGATAATCGGGCTCATCAAAAATATTATTTCAATATTTCTTTTTATTTTCTAGCAATCTTTTCAGTTGATTAATCACGAAAACAATAACATGACAAAATATCGAAGATGATAATACAAGTGGCATGTAAAGTCAAGATGGATTCAATAGTTTCACATTTGTTCAAAATTAACGCATAATCTATAAATTACAGAACTCCGGAACATCAGCTAATTTGATAATATTTTGAGATTTGCCTATTTTGTAGGCTTTGAAGTGGCTGGTAGCCTGTTGTATGTTATTCAGAGCAATTGAGGTAAAGCGTATTGAGTAGCTGTACACAATTTCGCGGTGTGATATATATATATATATATATATATATATATATATATATATATAAAATCCATTAAATTTGAAAAAAATAGACCCTCAATAGAATTATTATAGCCATGTTGTAGTGGACAGTTCAGGATTTCATATTTGTCAGAATAATATTTGGACCGTCTCGAATCTGTGTCCGCACAATGACAACTAGCTTTACATAATGTGCTCGTGTTCATGTTGATATTTGCTGAAATGCGATGTAGTTGATAGAGATGGGTTGAAATTAGTGATATTTTAGAATTTTTAGCATTTTATATTTTTGTTAGAAATCATGGGATATTTTGTTAACATAACTTTTATTTCTTTACAGCAAATGCAATTATTATAAAGTTAACATACATGTATATACATGTAAAGGTGTATTTTTCATAACATGCTTTACCTGTATATCTCAAACATGACCTATGATTTCAGGAAAAAATGCAGATAAACTGTTTCCTGCTACCTTGTCCAAGGACAACCGCACGGACCGGCCACGAGAAACACAAATCGCCATGAGTAGGGAGTGTCGAAACGTGAACCTGGGATGCTCCTGCCACCCAATCTAATGCTCTAACCGACTTCCCTATCGCCGCCCCCAGTATTGCAAGACTTCAACTTCTTATTTTATTCCCTTATCCATGATTGGGACATCGCAAATTAACACAACTAATGTTTTTAAATGGCGAATAATATTTAAAGCTGTAAAAAATGCAGTATCACAGATCAAACGGAAATGTATAATTAAATAGCCGGTAATCAGTTTCGTAAACTTTATGTAATTGCTTTCTGTAATAACTTGGTATTGTTGAAAAATAACTTTCAAGCATGTCATTTGTTTTCGAATCATTATAAAAAACAGATCTTTTTGGAAATGAATATTGAGAAAGTCCAATGTGTTGTAAAATGTATTCAGCATCCTCCCCAAGTGTTGAGTATTTGCCGATATAATCATAGTTTATTTGACACGGATAACACAGTTTACTTTGTCGCTCCCAATGTTCATCAAATCTGAAATTGGCTTTTTGAAGTGTATTCATTTCTACCAAATATTTCACAAAATCTAAAAATGTGATGCCACCTTTTTGAACATGTCCGTTTAAAGGAGAATCCTCATGGAAGATATTCCAAATATCATCAGCTATCTTTTGAAACGTCTTATCCTCTAACCCAACTCCAGCAAATTTGTCACGATATGCAGAGAGCAATCTTTCCATTGGTTCACGAACAAACATGAACTTCCGGTAGTTTCGTAATCGATGACGTATACCGGAAACAGAATAAGTCGAGAGAACACGAAGTCGTTTTCTATATTTGAAGTGAACCTCGTTGTGTTTTAAGTCTTCTGGTCTTGTCCTGGTCTTATCAAACATGCCAGTCATATGCAAGAAGATCCTTTTCCAGTTGGAACACCCAACTTTTGGAACGTAACAATATATAATTCCATATTTGTCGTCGACCACTACGTTGGAAAGTTTAGAAATATTCAACGTCATATTCATAATACCACTAGCAATCATTGCGTCACACTCAGTATCTAAATGGTCTTTTCTCTGGCGTAGCAAATCACTCTGCAATGAAACATAACTGATATATTTGATTGGTATTCTGTTTCAAATTTAAACTCCCTTCATCTATTCAAGTTGTTTTCTCATACAATATCCATAGTGAACAACTTTAATTCCAGATGAAAGACACCGTTTTCAAAATATTGTCTGACCCTTTCACTACGAGTAAACATTTATTTAAACACAGATTGCTAAAAATGTTTGCGGACCGGAGTATCAACCGTATGTATCAGTATACACAGCTACATGAATTATCAATAGTCATACTAACAAAGTAGTCCCAATTGACCCATACCTGAACAGGCGCTGAAAACATCCGGGATTGTCTCGCTCCCTGATCAAATTCTGAAACTAAACCAAGGCTTTATGATATTTAAGATTATCTGATCCACCGTTAGGGATATGTTAACTCCGAAAAGATCAAGATCTAAAAACTGGAAAGTATTTAGTTTTATACAACTGACTATACCTTGTATTTTAGATAGTAAAGTATATACTGACGAATATAAACGTCATGTGACCAAGAAATTCGAGACCAGTAATAGTTCTGAAGCTCAGCATTAAATGAAAAAATCCACATTGGGTAGCAATGAATGTCTCATATAGCATTTACATGTATCTTTTTATCCTGCAACTGGAAGTGCCATTGTCGGAATACACCTGCCACTTTTACTTTATAAAATAGGTTTTATAATATAAATAAATGTCGTAATAAGTGATTCCATATGTTGCATATGTATGAAAATTCATAAAAGCGCTGCCATATCCGTTGAAGTTTGGAACTACATTTCTGCGCGGAGCAATTATTTTGACGTACGTAATCAGGCAAAGTACAGTGTAACGTCAACAACAGGTAAATAAAGAGTTATAAAACTGCTGAGTTTTGATTGTCTGATTTTCAATCAATTTTGCAGGATAAATAAAATACATCGTCACTCTCTTAAAATATAAGCTGTATTTTGGTGAAGCTGAAAAAAGACTTAAGTGGCGAGCCTCTGGTTGGAAATTTGGAAGAAAAAACAAACAGGGTTTCAGTTTAGATTCTGAATGAGTTCGCAAGCCGAGGTCATTTTTACTCACAAAAAGATGGCGTTAGTGAAGACGTCATTCCCCACATTAAGCAGTATATGGTCAACACTCCCACAGTAACGATCATCATCAACAGTTTCACCTTAGGGAAAGATAAATTCCACATTTTATGATGGATTTTGTTGAACATCTTGGTGCACCTTGTAGGACAAGTCAAGTCATCTTACTTTTCTCAGATTTGTTGTTATTCTGAAAAAAAAGGTTGAAACGTGTGGTTTCAAAATGGCCTAAGAATCAAACACAACAGCTTATATGTGCTATTGGTAGCATCTAAGTCCAAACATGTACATACACAAGAATGTATCGCCCTTTTTGTGCCAAAAATGAAGACAAAATATATGTTTCTTGGGGGAAAATGATACAATATCATTTCTTCAATTTTGAAAGAAACCTAACATGCTGGTTATAAAATGTTTATGTTTAGAACAGGAGATAAAGATGTGGTGGTTTTTGGGAAAGAATGTGCTCTTTTTACATTAAGCGAAATTTTCTGAAGGTCAAAAATACAACTTCCCATTGGAGTCCATTTATAATTATGTGCTAGAAAACACCTTCAAACAGTATAAACTAAATAGGGATGGTTTTATGGTGGTTCCATGGTGACTTCGGGGCGGTGCCGGGATGGTTCCATGAACCGATAACTAGAGTGTATAACTATTGCATCACGTTCAGTAAAGAAAATATGACCCAATCGGACGTTACCTGAAATCCTCGTTACTTTTGACTTTACTGAAAAATTCCCCCGTAGTTTAACATAAAGACATATTTGGAATCAAAGTTCACTAAGTTCACGATTTGCACAAATATATGTATTTGTCTCAGTGGTGAACTCTATTATAATTAGATCCTCAGTGTGTATAGTATGTACCCTGGTGTTGTTTACATCGGCCTGTGTCATCACAGTCGTTGTCGATATCATTTACACGATCGCTCATCAAGATATCTACTAGTCCGTTAACATACATTGATACATAATACGCGTAATATTATATAGCGACACATCTCGTGAAAATCTTCATATTCAATGTTAGCACATACAAACATTATATCGTTGGGTGTTTTAAAGTGTTAAGAAATCAATTAAGAAAGACAAATGGCGGACTACACACGCATATTTTTCATCGCATGATCGACTTTCTCAAGTTAGTCTCGCTTGATAGAAAGGCCATGTGGTTTAGAGCAGGGAAGGTCAGAAATTTTCAATCAGCCAATCAAATTATGCGATTTCCAACAATGGCTTCGAAGGGTATAAATACGGGCATGAAACGGACAAAAAACAGTCCGCCGAAAGGCCGAAATATTGGAAAATCAATAGGAAACAACCAAACAAACAAAAATAATATATCGTGAGCCGTTACTAGAAGGAGTAGGATCTACTTACGTAGGCGTATTTCATCATGACGATACATTGGAGAGAGAGGGAGAGAGAGAGAGAGAGAGAGAGAGAGAGAGAGAGAGAGAGAGACAGAGACAGAGACAGTGAGACAGAGACAGTGAGACAGAGGCAGAGAGGCAGAGAGAGAGAGAGAGAGGGGGGGGGAGGGGAAGAGAGAAAAAGAGACAGAGAGTCAGAGACAGACTGCATTACGGGATGAGAAAAAGAAAGCCTAAGAATGAAATTTGTTCCGCCAACATTGCGATAAAGCATTTGAACATAGGCATCTCAGTGAACACAGTGACAGATATCGAAATGCGATAAATGTCATAGAGGTAAGATCTACTGATGAGACATAAGAAATACAACGTTATAGGTAGAGGTGACAGATATCGAGAACACACCTAAACTCATCAGTCAAATGGGTGTCGGCTGTCCAGTGGAGGCAATCGAAGAAACTGCCTTGGAGGACTAGTCAATACCAAAACGTGATCAGAGAGATGGAAAGCAATCGCTTGTGCCAGGAATACATAGGCACTTGGTTGATTTCTTTTAAAGTCACTGGCATGCCCGACAGGGACTTAGATTCGATGACATCAAAAAGAAATTAGACAGAGCTCTGAAAGAAGGGGTATCCAATGGTATATTTGTATTCAGCTCCAATTTTCTAAACTCAAAGGGGAGGTCATGTAATCCATCACACCTGATTTTAGAGGTAAATTTCAAATTAGTCTAAAATGCGAAAATTTAGACGAGGGCATGAGAGAGGGTTCAAAACACGTATTCTTCCTTTATCGAGTATCAGTGACAGGGTGTGAATTGAACCCTCGGAACTAAAACACGTTAATGGTTACAAACCTCTAGAAGACTCTACATTCGTCTTCCGATCAATCTAAGGCCAAAAAATCAGTCGGCAATGTCCAGAACAAGGACAATAAATGTTTCACGTTGTCGGTACTGGCAGTATTACACCAGACAAAAATGGTTCCACAACGTGTGAGCAATTACGAACATTTTGAGATTGTAGTCGATTTGACGGGAATCTCATTCCCGGTGTACATGGCCGACATTCCCAATTTACTAAATTCTATACGAAGTTATTTAGACGTCTTTTAAACAGCACATTAATATTTCTGAAAGAGTAAACATCAAAAATAGGAAATTGAGGTTTTGTCAATTACCAACAAACAGCAAAGTTGGAGTTCTGAGGTCTTTTGAAAAAATACATTGGACAATAACTCGTAATTTTGCCTTACAAATTACTAATGCTACAAATTAGTGTTACCGGAATGTGATACAGATCTCTATTCAAGAAAAAATCTGCAGTGACAAAAGATCAGCTATGTGTATAATTTGACTTTTCAGAATAATTGGTAATATATTTGAAAATTCCGCATGAATGATTAACAACAAAAATTGACTGAAAATTAAGCAATAAAATTACATTTGAAAGAACGCGTAAAAACGATAACTATACGTGAGATGATGACACATTTGAAAGTACACGTGAAATGATGACACATTTAAAGTACACGTGAAATGATGACACATTTGAAAGTATACCTGAAATGATGACACATTTGAAAGCACACGTGAAATGATGACACATTTGAAAGTACACGTCAAATGATGACACATTTGAAAGTACACCTGAAATGATGACACATTTGAAAGTACACGTGAATGATGACACATTTGAAAGTACACCAGCAATGATGACACATTTGAATGACAAGAATACATTAAAAGTATACTTTTTGGTGACACATTGAGAAGTCTCACTGAAAACATTGTTTATTTGTTTATTATTTTCAGATAGTTCAGAAAATTGAATGAAAATGAATAAACAAATATGGTAGAAAGGTGTACGTTTTAGCACATTTAGCACAAAACATCTTCACAATGTATCATGTAAAAACCAAATTACATTAAATACCGCAGAATGCATTATTTGAATTAAAACTATAACGTGGCAACTACTGGCACGTTCTTATTTTATATTTTCTTCATTAAAATAGAATTAGCGCCTACATAAGATATGAATATCACTTCTTTTGACAATATGAAATCTAGTAGAGGAGCTTAATTTCCTCATTGAACCATCATAATTAAACATTTACAATGTATTTCCAGTTACCAATATCAAGAAGATGTCGACATTTCTAATAGATCGGTTTATAAACTAATGTCTACAATTTGTTATTGTAAGAAACAATCTGCTGTTATAGTACTAGTGTTTACCTGCTGTTGTCACAAACATTGCGTGTACTATGATTTCCTCTATGTTAGATGCGTACCGGTAATGCAGTACGAAGAGACTTTACATGTCACGATAAATATGACGCTTTAAACTCTAGAGGTCAAATAAAAATGCATTACTACAAACCGAACATAGAAATACTGAATACACAAAAGATCCGTTGGGCCGAAACGTCAACAACAGAGCTCAATTGTTAGAATACCCGAGGACATGGAATTATCGGCAAGGTTAACAAAGCGATTCCAAAACAAATATCACGGGTGACATGTCTCCAGCTAAAAACTTAAGTCCTGTACTGACAAAAACACAGGGGGAAAGTTGGATGGTTCATAAAATTAGCACGACATTATCATTTGACAAGAATTGATATGAGATAGATTTTAAAGAATTTTCATGACCAAGTTATTTTTTATTAAGATTTTTTAAATAAGATTTCATGGCATGAAAGTCTTTCGAAAGGAGGTTCGTACTGCAACAGTAACATTAGACCTTACTTACAAAAGCATCCGACAAATTGTTTATCACTGTTCGGGACATATTTTGACCGATTGATACCATTTGCATGTTTTGTATAATTTCTTACATAGTACTTCTATGTAATAATAACATGTTCTGATTTTGAACGTAGCAGAGACCGTTATTTATTCAAAACTCCTCCGCTAGGGATCGAACCTGGGTCCTCGATCGAACCTGGGTCATCTGCATGGCTTTCATATTGCACCTAGTAGTTACCAGTGTTACGTATATATATATAATATAGTTAATGACGATACGCAAGTGATAATATAAAGAAAATTGGACAAAAGTGGACAATACACATGACGTCATAGATTCTTTGCATAGTTACATTGCACTGAGGAGCAGCTAAGCTGTGAAAACGTTATGCAAAATGCTAACTTAACTTTTTCTTGTGTGTTTTTTTAAAACAATTTTCTATATATATATATATAATATTATATATTATTATAGTATATACATATATAAGATTGTAATATTAATATTACAACAACCAAACAAGAAATCATATTTAAGCCGAAAAATCCCGTATGTACTAGGACGTACTGTGTCATTTGGTTGTCCATTTAGAGTTCGACACGTTTCTCTATACATATCATGCTGGGTATGAATAGCTCTATAGGATGTTGACATAAATACAATTTACGTGAGGGTGACAGTTCTTTTTCTGAAAAGCCGAAAACATTTACGATATGTCAGTATTTGGTATACATAAGCACTGAAGTGTCCTGCTCTCTTTTCCTGTATAAGTTAAACTCTAGACGGAAATAATGAGAAAAGGAACAATAACCAAAACGCAGTATATGAAAAATCTCCAACGATACAAAAATAGTTATCAGATATTTCCTTTGGGTCATTTGTTAAGGGGAAAATTGAGAGTATGAGTTGATATAGGTACTGGTCTTAACGACATGTCTGTCATATCATAGCCTAACTGGAAAGCTATGACGTAAAATACAGTATAGATGTAACGTCATTTATCACACACACGATTCACTTATGTTATTGTTTACAAATGTAACAGTGATGTAAACACAACCACATAAATATTAGCTAAGCACATATGTATACAGTCCTTAACAAATGTGAACAAACTTGCACACAAAACGTATCTTGTGTGCACATTAAGAAATTGATGATAAACAAATTTTTACCCACGGTTCTGTATGTAAATAAAGATATACTCACCATAAGTCGGAGACTGTCCGTAAATAGCACAGTCTGTTCGGATTAACCGGGAGCCTTCCTTCTCACGGCCATTGTTATCATTATGTGAACGGTATACACATTTCAATGCGGTAAGTATAATACCCAATGATCACGGTGGTGAACCTGTATTGCCAAATTTGGAAATATCTCGGTTCACAATCGTATGATTTCCTACATTGATTACAAATATATATATGGTATGGTTACATTGATTATATATATATGGTTATATTTACAATAAATGTATAATGTATTAACACGTGTGCGATCGATCGATAATATTGAAATAGGCCTTTAAGAATTGAAGGAACTTGCCGTCTAGAAATTC